CAAAGAAGCCGATTTCCCTTCGGTTCATTTTGTCAAATTCAAACAACACAAACTGAAAATGCTTATATCCCTGGAATAGAAAGTCATATTATCGTCACACAGCGGGGAAATTCATGTGTCGCAACAGGAAGTTAAGGTAATTGCGAGCATGCAGAGTTGCAGACTATACGTTAAGGGCAAAGTTACAAAATAAGGAAAATAATAATACAGTACAGTTGTTAAAAATAGCACACTCAGATTAAAAGAAATGTGCAGCTGGAATGTAAAGAAAGAAATGAATATATGTGCAAAAAACAGGTTATTTACAAAAAGTGTGCAAATAACAGGAATCTTATATGAAATGAGAAAACTGCAAATATTGAGTCAGCTGAGAGCAGTGATGGTTACAAAGACAGCTGATGGGAGGAAGGATCTGCAGTCATAGTACTTTGTGCATCAAGGATGCAGAAATTTGTCTTAAAGTCAGCTAAAAAAAAAAAAAAAAGAAGTGTTGACCTTTTTCCACTCTGAAGATTTCTTCACTTTTCTAAAACACTCAGTGATAACATCAGGCTTCTGCAGGTAGGAGAACTATAATAATCTCACACAGCTTCTCCTCATGAAAGTTTAATTATCGCCTCAACTATGTTCTAGTTCCAAGTTTGAAAATCAGTCTGAATGCTGTTCAGTGACCAGGCTGACCTGCTATTAGCGAGTCAATGCATTTCCCTGCAAATAGAAAGAGCTGTTTATATAAATAATGTCTCCCTTTAGCTCTACACCGGTAATAACATTGGTGTCGGCCGAGGATGGTGGTTTGTTCAACATATTGGTGCAATAAGTAAAACTGGGCTGGTGATGAGAACCGATGTTTATTTCCATCTTGATGCCATTTCTTTATGCGTTTCAGAAGAACTGAGGGCTGATCATGTGGCGTTTGGTCACGTGACAGCGATGGCGATGCAGCACAGGATTGTGGGGTGTTTAATTGAAGCATAAAAGCAATGTCAGTGGTGTGGCCATTTTTTTTTATTAACGGTATTAAAGCTTGGTGCTGGCTTTTAAGTGCGACCACATTGGATTTTGTAGCAGGTTTGGTATGAAGCGTCTGACTTTCACCTTGTGAATTCACACATCAGGGTTCTTTTAGATGATTGTTTTATGACTTAATCTTCAAATTCTGAGTAAAAGTATAACCTATAAATGAAGTGCATCTTTCAGGAACATCGTGAGGCGTGAATGAGATGTTTTTTCCTTTTATTTTTTTAATTGCAGTTCTTTATCATGACAAAACCGTGTCACATAACAGGGTGTGCTGTAATTATGAAGTCTGGAAAACATTTGCAACATGTTTCACTGGGATGTATGCAACTGGCTATACGGTTACGAGATGTGTGCATTACTGGGTGTGCCGCGCTTGTAATAGTTAAAGCAGTCACAAACGCCTCGTCTCAGGCAGATAACAGCAGCAGTAATAGAGGCCTGCTGAAATCACATCACCCCCCACCCCCCCACACAGCAGCAGATTTATTTGTTTTTCAGGCAAAGTCAACTAAAGTGGCATCAACTGAGGTGATTCATCCAAAGCCCCTTCTGGAGGCATCATCTCGTTCCAAGACCTGCCGGTTTCAGCACTTCATCTGAGCCTCAACAGGGTTTTTGCTCCTCCTTCCGATGTAAAATTAGGAAGCTCTTCCATTATGACCGTCACAGATTCGCCGAGAAAGATAAGTCGTCTATTATCAACATTTTCCTGTTAGCAATCATGATCTAATTGATAGTGTTGAAAATTTTTTTTTTTTTTTTTGTTTTTTTTTTTAAAGCCTCTTCTTCCACCCAAAGATGCTGCCGTCTGTGTTCGAGCGCAGTCGAGGTTCACTAATAGGATTAAAAATGTAAGCCTTCATACAGGGTCCGATGGCATTTTGAAGATTAAGAACAATGTCAGTGACTTCTGCCCCGTTTCTGGGGAGATTGGCTGCACACTCAGACACACCGGCCGTTTCTGAACACCTACGGACGATCGTAAAAGATTTTTCCTGAACATCAGCTGTTTACACAAGGTCATATATAACCAGGAGGTGGGACTGTTATTACGGGTTGAAATATTTTCAGTGACAACACCAGCAGCGGCTCAAGCTCAAAAGACTTTGCTCAAGCCTTTTATATCGTCAGGAGGAGAGATTAGTCAGGTCAGAGTACGGAGTATACCTGCTGCAAAGACTATCTGAGCTGGATGTTTTCACTGCTGTCGCATTCTGGCTTTCTTTCTTTCCCCTTGAGAAGGACATTTGCTTCTAGACCAGGAAGTGTTGATAAAGTTCTGTGCAACTTCAAGCTAAGATTTATTGATTCACAACCAAACAAAACCAATAACCAGCCTACCTGTGCTGGTCATAAAACAATAACGGTTAACTTGATAGAGAGCACTCCTGCAGCTTCTCACACCATATACCAGCAGGTTTCAAGTAGGGTCAGTTTCTGAAGCAATATCTAAAGCTTTAGAGATCTAATACAGCTCTGTTCGAACCGTTACACCGACATACAAATAGTATGGCACGACTGCAAACGAGGGATGCACCGATCCACTTTTTTCACTTCTGATACCGATACAGGAATCTGAGGCTTACTTACAGAAAAAAAGTGCTGAAGTGACTTAAAAGGTTTTCTTTTAAAACACAGACATAAATGTACTGAATTACAAATGTATTTGATAACTCTGCCCCAGTACAGCACACTTAAATACACCAATAGCTTCACAAGCTTGGTGAAACACGTAGAAACAACACAGATTTAAGTTGTTCAATCAGTGCAATTAAGAGTAGAACAGCCGACGTAAAATAAATAATAAAGAAACTGACAACAACAGGTTGACTACTTTGGTCAAACACGCAAAAATAAACTGTAACAAAACTTCTTTCAAATGGTTCAGAAAGGGAAATTAGGAATTCTAAACATAACGTAAAACAAATAATGAATCATGACATCCCTCAGAGCACAAAAAACATAGAATTACACTGAACAGATTGGGCACATCAAACAGTCAATACAGATATTAATATCGGACCGGTGCGTCTCTACTGCAAACCCAACAAGAAATGGTCTACCGTCTAAACTGATCTATATGCAAGAGTGGCAAGAAATGCACCCCGTAGACAGACCCATAACACATCCTTCTAATGAAACATAGTGCTGGCAGCATCATGCTGTGGGAATGTCATTCATTAAAAAGGGAAGCTTGTCAAAGCTGATGGTAAAAACTAATGAAGTGAAATACAAGGTGACCTCGGACGAAAACCTACCTAAAACACAATGAAAGCTAATTTCAAATGATTTTTATCAAAGCTTATTCATTTACAACAGGGGTGTCCAAAGTCGGTCCTCGAGGGCCGGCATCCTGCATGTTTTAGTTCTCTCCCTGATTTTACACACCTGCATCAAATGATAGCTCATTAGAAGGCCTAAGCAGAACATTGACTTGATGAGGAGGCTGTTACTACCACTAGGGAGAGAATTAAAACATGCAGGATGCTGGCCCTCGAGGACCAACTTTGGACACCCCTGATTTACAAGAATGGCCCAGTCAAAGTCCAGATCTAAATCCAGTTATGAATCTGTGGCGAGGCTTACAAAAATGTTGCTTTCAGATGTTCTCCATCCAATCTGAATAAGCTCAAGCATTTTTGCCAAAAGATTCTGGGTCTGAATGTGCAAATCCGGCGACTGCAGCAATATGTGGGTTCATAAAGTATTGATTCAGGAGTGTTCGATGCGAATCCCCATCACAATGTTCTGATTTTCAGTCGCAAAACATGTATGCTTGTCCTGCAACTTTGAATTATGAGCCGCTTTGCGTTTGTTTTTCACATAAAAGCCCAATAAAATCCAATGAAGTATGTGATTAAATGCGGGGTTAGTTCAAAGTGTCCATACAAACACATAAAGACACCAACACACAGCATTTATGTGGAAGCAGTTGTACACACAATTGCATTTACACAAGGAACAAGACATTTTGAAACACATTTAGAGACAGAAGCTTGCTCAGGATTGTTTTATTTTCCCCCTTTTATTTTCTCAGAAAATAGTGGGAGTTTTTTTATTTATGAAGCACTGAAGTCAAAATGTAACAAGACGAAAATCTCGTTGCTCCCTCTTTTTGTGAAGCGAATCTGAACAGACACTCAAAGGCAACCAGACCCACGTTACTGAACGCTTAATCTGCCAGGTCAGGACACACACACCAAAAAAAAAAAAAAAACAGGTTGGGATTACTCATAAAGTGAACTGTGCAGATTATTACCTAGTGGGCATGAATAGCTTCCTGATATCTTGCACATTCTTGCACACTGTAGATACAATTGTAGGTGAAAGAGCCACACCTTGTTGCAAAACCCTGTGGAAACTACCTTTTCTTGAAGTAACACAAAACTGTGATGCATTGTAAAGTTGACTGTGCCGTTGCAAGTAAAGCCAAGCGTAAATGCAACTAAATAAGACTTCTGTACTCTGAGTCTACATACAATACAGCACAGACCGCCTCTGGCGCTGCCATGGGGAGTCCCTAAAGGAGACCTTGAGGGGGGGGCAATAAAATACCTTAAGGCAAAGCGAGGACTCTTATGTTCATTGGTACTTCAACCGGTTCTCTTCAGTGAGATTAGGCTCAGGAATGACTGGTATGCTCTCTGAACTCCTGGCTCTTTTCCATGTTTCCATAACACCTATTGTGGATCATTGTTCAGCTTTGGTATTTTCTTCTCTCTTTTTTTTTTTCCTTGAAAAACCAAGTTACAAACAACCAGGAAGGTGAGCTTCCTTGTACTTAAAAAATAAATAAATAAATAAACCGCTAGACATTTGTTATAATTCGTAGTACGCGGACAGAAAACATAAAGTGAAAACATACAGTTCCCTAACTTTTTCCCCGAGTCCTGTTTGTTTTGAAGTTGGAGAAGTTACTGCTGGGAGTTGAGAGTCGGCTGAGCGCAAAACACGCCAAGTTAAATACGAGCACTTACCGACGCCGTACTTCTCTTTCTTAGTGGGAATCCAGCGGGTCATAGCGGGAGGGGTGGGGAAGCATGTAAAAAATTGGCCGAATAAATAAATTACTATGTACACTTGCTCAACGAGGACGGGTGGTGCGCTCCAGCTCGTCCCGAAGCCTTACAGTTCCGCCATCATGACTCGTAAACGGGGAGGAGAGAGGAGGGCGCAGCCCGGCGGGGAGAGGGGGGGGGATACAGGCGGGAGTCACTCACACAGACACCCGCTCTACCAGCTCGGGTTGTGTGTTTCATTCAGCTCCTGACAAAATTCCTCCTATTTCTCGAACTGTTGCTCATAAATAACCAAATGAGCTCAAATTGAATTAGTCATATTAGATTTAGACAACTGTGCCTTGCTTTTGCTTCAAGGACTGTTTCTCTCAGTGTCCGTTTTGTTTTAAGCTGAATCCAATTTGCTAGAGTTATCTCAATCACTAGCAGTCATTTTATCCCTTGTCGCTTAATTAAGGTAGTGGTTAAAATGTCCCACTGAGAAAAATAACTGTTCTTAAAGGGACAGGCACAAACCACTCTTATCTGATTCCGACAAGTATGCGGGTTGGATATGGCTCGCTGCCCAGGGCATCACAACCTTGAAGGCAGCCTAATTTTCTTGTGTTCATTTTCATATCCTGCTAATGTCAAGTGGACAGCCGTCGATGTTGTGCAGGGTAAGTGTGCATAATTGTGTATACTGCTCCTGACTACATAAATCAGCATTCAGACTGATTTAAAATCTAAAAAGCTGCATTGGTGTGCCTCATCAATTGATTTAATGAAATACGGTTCGATATTTATGGCACCTTTATTCTGTTCCAGCCTGCTTATTCCAAATTAGTCTGATTCTGTTTTTGTTTTAATTTCATTTTAAGGACTACATAACATAAAACAAAAAGTATGTTCTTCTGCATATGCTTTGACTGATATCACAGTTTTGAATCCCATAGACCTCGAAGTGGCCATCCCATGTTCGATTTAACATCCTCTGTTCCTTTGCTGCATGTCTTTTCTCTCTGCCCCCTTCCTGTCAGACTACTGTCAAATAAAAGCCACTAGAGCCAAAAAAAAAAAAAAAAAACATACCTGCAGTAGCCATCTGTCTGGTTGTGTGTTGACATATTTGCAAATGGCAGACTTTGAAAAAGGTTTGTACCCTTTAAATGTTGTATTTCATCTGGTAAATTGGGCGACAAGTTATTGTATGAATTTTAAAAAGATCTTGTTGTGATGCAATATTAGATCACACGTGTTTTTTAGTCATACGTCATTTCTCTTACTTCTGAATTCACAAATCACCATTCTGTTAAGTGGTGACCTAAGCCCACAGTTTATTTTCATCCCTTATGTCATGTAGCTCTGGTGATCTGCTTTCTACGATCTAAATGTTAAAGCTAGCTTACTTATCTCGTCCTACATTACGGCCCCTGAATTCACCCTAACAGCTCCTCATTAGTTCCCAAATGAGCTTCATATGTCAAGTTAGATTGAAACCGCTGCCGTTTGCTCTGCTTGAAGGGATCTCTCTTTTAGTGTGAGTAGTTCATTTTTAGCAGGAAACTGTACACAACTTGACATTCAGAGAGGACTTGGGGCAATTAATCGAAACTGAGCTATAAATCGCTGATGCGTCATAAATAAATGATCGCCCGGTTATTGTTTTTAATTAAAGCTCGATGGATTGCATTGCAGGAAGCCACTCTGGCCGTTTCCAACAAGCACCTTCTGCGTGAACGGACCAGACATTCTCACACAGGCTTGATTTGCTTTGACTGCACGTAATACTTCATACAAGCCCCACAAATTAATTGATGCATCTGGTGGCTTGTCCATCAATGAGATGAGACTTCCCAGCCCTGGGAAGCAATTTACAGCTGTTGGCTCAGAGATTTTGGTAGTCTGCTCAGCCTTTTGTTTGCCCGTCATGTGTGTTTATGTTTGTGCAGCCCCACCGGCCAACCAAATGGCGCTGTGTGTACAGTGCTTAACCGTCAACGGCTTTTTGTCATTCAGGGAGGCTGCCAATCATGCATCCTTCGCCATCTATCGCAGAAATGGCCGCGTTAAAAACAGCTCCTGGTGATTTACGGCTGACGCCATCTGATTGGGAGATTTCATTGAAGGCTTTTAGTTTTGCAAATTGCAGAGCAGCACCGTTGAAAAATGTACCGTATATAGCAGCAGCAGCTCTGCCATACAGGCTGTCTATGGGTGAAAAGACAATCTGCTTACTCAGAGCCAGCCCCCTGCTGGCATAGGGGGGCCCCTGAGAACACATAAAATAACACAGAACAGATTAACAAATGTGCTGGGTTTAAAGATGTAAAGGAAAATGTTCAAAGTGTTTTGAAGGGTTTGAAGACGCCCTGCGGGGAGCCCTCAACACCTCAAACCACATAGATGGATCAATAGGTCTGTCTATATGAAGAGACATGGTTTATGTTCCATTTATCACAGATGTCTTAATTTAAATTAGTCCTGATATTTAAAACAGTCTTGAGAATGACTTTTCTTGTGTTTTTACCAATAAAACTAACATTTTATGTATCTCAAACTGGGCTTAGAAGTCCAGATGATCAATTGCAGAGCAGATTCTATTAGAACAACAGTGAAGCAGCTCCTGTAATATTGCACTTCAAATATGATGGCAGCTTCAGGATTGTTTACCAGTGCCTGCACTCTCCACAACACTGAATCTCTTTCTTCTTTGATTGATTGATTAAGTCGTAAGTCAGCTCTGTGTTCACTGGACGTTGTTTCGTTGAACTGATGCCCCTTTTTTTTCCACAGAATGATGTCAAGTTACACAGAGATGTTACCAGGGGTATCACTTGTACTTACTTGTGTGATTGTCTTTATCTGCTCTGTGGTTTTATCCATTGGGCCTATAGTAAGTAATAGGGGGGCTATACATGTACTTTATGTTGTATCTTCCTCGGTTATGACTTGAGCTTTTCACAAGATTACTGTGACCTATTTCTGGCTGAGCTGTAGGTGCTTGCAGAGAATTCAGATTTATTACATGGCAGGGAGAACGAAGTGGGGGGAGGTCTTCTTATCTCCTCATGCCAATTTCACCTTTGATTTTTATAATAAGTTTAGCAAAACCAGCCGAATCAAAGCGAAAGAACAGCTTTTAGGCTTTCAAAATGTTAAAAAAAAAGAAGCAATTTTTTTTTTTCAAAAACAACTGCAACATTGCCATCACCTGTCTGCCCTGCGTTATTGCATCTTGTGAAATGTTCATTCCTGATCAAATCTACACACATGCATAGCTCTGCGTTTCACTTGGAGATGAATGCACCACAACCAGCAAATTAAAAAAAGAGAGAGAGAGAGGGAGACAAGCCGAGCCTTTACAGGACATCCTGTCTGCTCTCATCTTCAACATTAGATCACCCTGTGAAACGTCTCAGATGTGCTGGAGAAGCCTCAAAGTCGTGCGGCGCCATGTTTAAGTAATAAGGTTTAAAAAAAAAAAAAAGCAGGGGTGGGGGGTCTGTATATATCTAAATATATAATCAAGCCATGAGCAGATGTGTGTAGTAAATGGAAACAGGTGTACATGTCAACAGAGATCCCGAGCAGCTGGGACATAAAAAGGGCTGCGTCTCTCGTTTTTAGCATGAAAGGCTGGAGGAAGTCTTGGTGAGCGCCGGCTTAGTCATTGTAGATTAAAACGCAGCCATGGAAGTACCGTTGTTGTCCTCATATGGGGATATACTGCCTGTTTACTCTGCCTTCGGGCTTCTCAGTGTGTTGCCAAACAGATGAATGAACATCGAGGATGACAGACAGACTAATAAATATGCTCCCCACCTAACACTCTTTCTCTCTCCTACCTTGCACAGCTTTGTTTTTTTGTTTTTTTTTCTGCTTGTGTACGTCCATGCTTTAGTACCTGTGCATGCACGACAGTTTTATTCATTCAAGATGAAGCACATCCAGCATCCATATGTATGAAATTCTATTTATGCATACATATATACACACATACATAAAGCTTGACCTGAATTGTCTTCATCAGCTGGCATAACTAAACTCAGTGAAGTGTAATTCTTTTTATGGGGTGCGAAGCTACAAGGCCTCAGAGGAAGGAAGGGGATGTGATCAGAGTGATGTGAACATACATGCGAATGGCCCCCGGGAGGGGTCCTATTCCTCAGATACAGGCAGACCAAACACGGGCTTAATGGATTTATGGGTCCACAGCCAGAACCGCGTGACGCCAGAAGCAAATAGGGGTCGGGCATCCACCTGCTTGTCTGCCTACAGGCCCCGGTAATTGGTGGGTCTAGCAGCTCTTTGAGGATAGGTCAGCGCACTGTCTGTGAACAAGTACTCAACATCCCGCGGCCGAGGTTACGTCTCAGGCTGGCTTTTGTGGAAGGATGCCGTGTTCACACTTAACAACTTTCACGGCTGGGGATGATTTCATTTTTTTTTTTTTTTGAGAAACAGTGCCTTGTACAGCTCCTTAAACTTGAATTTTGGGATTTTATGTGCTAGACCAGCACCACATAGTGCATGATTCTCAGTAATGTTTTTTTACAAACAAGAATGTATTGCATATTCAGTCGCCTTGACTCTGATAGCCCAAAATATAATCCAGTGATATTTATTCTACTGAGAGATCAATTAATAAATAAAATCCACCAGCGTGTAATTTATGCTCAGCATAAATCCAGTGGTTCTGTGAAGGCCTTGTGAAACAAGCTTCATCACAAGGACCAAGAAACACACGAGTTGCAGAAAAATCTTTAGCAGTGCCAGACTGTAAAGAATTCAATTCAATAAAACTTTATTTGTCCCCAAGGGGAAATTTAAAGACAAGGTGGAGCAGGACCAACCTACACTTTAAAATCATCAAAAACAGACAAAGGGTTGTCATGTAAAAAGGTCACTCCTGAAAGTAAAAGCTATACATGCATTTGTTTATGAGGGTGAAAGGGTTGGAAAAAAAAAAGCTCAGGTTTAGGACCAAAAGCAATAATCTCTAGTTTTGAAAGTCTGAGCACAGATCTGAAAAACAATGGTGCAAATATGCATGCGTATTTTAAAGAGTAATTACTTTTTTTTTTTTTTTTTTTTTTTACTAGTCCACGAGTGAGTCAGTTTTCCGCAAGCAGCGAGTTAGCGTCAACGTCTCCTTCAGGAAACTCGCTTCTCTGCTCCCTGATTGCGGCTGATGAGTGCCGGCTGGAGGCTTCACCAACAGGTCGGGCAAATACAAACACATTCACCCACAATCCAGCGCGCAGCCCTGTGTAGGCTCTACAACAATTCTCCAATAACCTTCGACATTCAGTCAGAGCTACAGTGGAATAGTTTAGATCATAGCCATGAATTATAGGCGATATTTAAACATGTAAGTTTGCAGGCGCTCTCCCTCCATTCTCATCGAGTGAAAGAAAATTCACTCCCTAAAACAGCAGAGCTGCTATGACATGCCCCAAAAGATTTACTGGTGTCATTGCAGTGAAAAGTGGCTCTACAAACACACACATTTAAGATTTTTCTTTACAAAAACATATCAGATGTGTGTATTATTATTTTATCACGCACAAAGTTATGCTGGTAGCCATGAACAGTGAAGATTAACTTTGTGGCCAAGTTAAAGAAGTGTGAATACTTTCTCAAGAGACTGCAACTGCATAAGGTCAGATTTGTGATTTAAATTACTATAATTTTATGTCTTCCAGGAAAATTGTGTAATTTTTGCACAGCCACTTTCTTTTTTTTTTTTTTTTTTTTTTTTTTTTTTTTTTTTTACTTTAAAGTAAAGCTAACCTGACTGCTGGAAGCACACAGTTAAATGCAGGCAATCTCAGAATTTGATTCTGTACAGAGAGAAAAAAAAAAAGACCTTTTGCACAGCTTTATTCACGTCTTATTTCCAGATTGCTTCACAAGACAAGATTGTACCCCGAGGCCATACTTCTCAGTGCGGTGAGCACATGAAACCATCTGACATTTGAAGCTGTAATCCTTATGTACATCAAGAAAGAAATGTCTAGTTTTAAAACTGAAGTGAGATGCCTTTGCATGAAACGGCTCTTGTGCGGTGTCCTCCAGGAGATCGGAAAGTCTCTCTCTGGGATGCTTTTTAATTAGGTGATTGCCTTAGATCAGCAGAGGGAGCCCCAGCTCTTATCTAGATTTCCTTTTTTCTGTGGGTAGCCTCAGCGTGGCTGTGTGAGATCTGAAACGACAGACCGCAGTATGACGGCCCACGAAGGCTGTGTGTGGCCACCAGGAATTTAAAAGCCATTATCCTGATGAAAAATGGGCTTTTTTCATGAGGAGAAATATCATCAATCTTAGAGGGGGAGGGGGAAAGGAGCCACTAATTTGAATTTTTAGTAACATATCCACTTAAGAGCTCTGTTCATGTCATATTTTGCTGAAGTTTCGACAATCAGTTTTGCTGGTTGCCTATGTTGATGCAAGCACTTCAGTGTGTTTTCTTGTAACAAGAAAAAAAAAAGAAATGTGAAATTGTAAAGTGAAAGAAAAATTATTGATAATCTTAACCATTTTTTATGTTATTTTTAAAGTGTTGCATGCATTTGTATGAAGACTTTAACTACATTTCACTACAATCACAGCTACATGAATGTTTCCAACAGCTTTGCACTTCTAGGGAACAAGATTTTTTTTTTACCCACTCTTTGCAAAATAACAAATTAAGTTCAAATTCAAAAGTACTTTATTGAGCCCAGCTGCTCTACCAGGGAAAACAGGACATTAAATCTGTTTTACACTAATGTTAAGGATTCGTAACCCAAGCTCAATCAGAGGATAGAAAGCATCTGTAAATTTTCAAGTTAGGTCTGGATTTAAACTGGAATATTGTAATTAATGAATGTTTTTTTGTATTATTATTTTTAAACCATTCCATTGTTGCTCTGACTGTGTGTTTATTTTGATTGTCCTCCTGGAAGGTGAACCTCACTCTGGCCTTTTGCAATTATGAACAAGTTTTCTGTCAGGATTTTTCCTGTATTTAGCTTTAAACATCTATCAATCCTGTGCAGCTTCTCAGTTCCTGCTGATGAAACGCCTTCTCACAGCATGATGCTGCCACCACCGTGTTTTATAGTGAAGTGCCGTTTTAGCTTTCCTCCACAAGTCGAGTTTTCCATGTAGCCCAAAAGAGTTCTAATTTTACCAGAGCATCTTTTCCCACACCAACTCATGCTGTACAAAGTGCTTTACCAAGAAGAAGAAAAATCAAAAATTTCACAACATTCAGAATAGTTCTTCTATTTTTTGTGTTAGCAAGCTGTACAATCATTTCATCTCTCCTTTCCACCAGAAACTAGAGTTGTTGTTGTTGACGCCTCCTTCTGCTCCTCTAAACTATTCCAAGTCTCCCCTCCCTCTGACATAGTGTGCCCCCGGAGGAAGCAAAGAGTCATAGGATTTGTGTAGCAGTCAGTTCATAGCCCAAATGCGGAAGATGAAACGCGGATGGAGACTCGATGTGGAAAGATGAAGTGTGATAAAAATAATACAGCAGTGCTTTGATATGCTACATTTACAGGGGATCTGTCCCCCACTGTGCCCTCAGATGCACTAAGACACATTAACACTAACGGAGGCGAGGCAAGTGGGAGAAGGGTTTACGGTGTCTGTTGTAAGAGGCATTATCACTATCGCTGCAGCTTTTTTGTAATCCAGTGAGGAAGCATTTGCAGTATTGCTGTCTCTTGTAGTGCTGAAATGAGAACTCAAAGGAAAGCATCTTTTACAAAGTATGACGTCTAACAATTAATTTGAGTGCTTATTTGGGCGGGATGGAGTCTGTAGCAAGGGAAGACGACAGATGCTGGTAGACTGTGGCTTGTTTTATTTACAAATGCAATGTTTAATGTTGAGTTATTTGTGTTAAAAAGTGATGAGTTGGTATCCAGGGTGTTTCAAATGGATCAAACACAAACCAATCTTTATGGTCACAATCAGTGCCTTGTAAAAGTATTCATTCTCCCTGAACAGCCACGAGGTTCAGTGTCTTCGACTCAATGAAGTGCATAATTGTAGAGGAAAGAAAAGGATCCATCCATTCATTCATCCATTGTGTTCCACTTGCTTGAGTTTGCTTTGCCAGACATACCTCTCATGGTTGACACTCTTCACTTGTCCTTAGGAGCCTCTATACATTCCTTTGCAAGAAGGGGTTCACCAGTGAGTTTTGTGTGAGCCAGGGTTTTCTCTTCTTAGAGAAGACCAGGAGACATCCCGATTGGATGCCCAAAACACCTTGACTGTCTTTTTTTGGATGGAAAAGAGGACCGGTTCTACTCAGAGCAACCGTCAGATAGTGGAGCTTTGCATCCTATCTCTAAGGGGAGGCTCCTGAACCTATGAAGGAAGCTCCTTTCGTTCATGTCTTACTACCAGAGATGAGGATCCGCATGCAGACAAATTGGTCAACTGATCACTTCCCATTTTTGCTTCACAGCATTGGCCCCAATACTGCAGACAAGTCCCCATTTATCCATCTCCCTCTGCATCCAACCATCGCTTCTGAAAACGTCAGACTGGGTAAGGTGTGTACATGTCACAATCTGGTTTTGGAAACGTGGAATGTACTTTCACTGGCAGAGAAGAAGCTTGAGTGTACGGTTGAGTGATACCAGCTATAAATACAGTAGATGACCTCATCACAAAGCTTTGGTTCTCCTTGTCGATAATTGTAAAGAAAGAGAAGCACTGGCCTGGTTGTACTGTCTAGAGACAGCTCCTAGTACTTGCTGACACAATGTTTTAAGACAAGGCTATCTGGCACCAGATAGCCTTGTCCTTCCAATTCTCAGCTATGTTCTACTTTGTTTTGGTCTGTCCAGACAACATACATCGAAGATTTCATTATACGTTTTGTGCTTAAGTGCTTTTAGAAGACTCTGGATGTGGTTATGTTAGAGAGATAAAGTGGTATCCAGGACAACTTCCGACACATCAGTCAGAAGCTCAAACCCATGCTCGGGATATGTGTATTTATCTAAATCAGAGAGAAGAGGAAGTAAAATAGTCCAAATGTGAATTTACATCCTGGGTTTACTTGGGAAATATCAAGTGATCTTTATGTTTGACAAGTGGGATGTGAAAATCTCTGCAAATGCCTTAGAGATGCCCTCATCTCCACCACCTCGCTGCCAAAGAATAAACAGTCTGTCCTCTGTCAAGGTTTTAGTAGAGGGAGATATGTCTCTCTTCATCCTCCTCCACCTCTCTCTCTCTCTTCCTAATGAAATAATGGCATTCCTCTCCCCCCCCCCTCCAAAGCTCCCCCACTCTTCTTGCCACTCTGCTTAAATCGACACTTGGCTGGATTCTCCAGTGCAGCAGAAGCTGAGTCATAAAGGTTTCAGTGGCCTGATTTATGGACAGTGATGTGGATGAGGGGCTGGTGTGTTGCAGGTTGGGGGGAAGGGGAGAGGGTGGGTGGAGCGGTGGGTGAAGCAGCGGAAAAAAACACTGGCGTCAGCTCGCTGATCACAAAGACATATGTCAGCACAGAAACCATCTGCTGATTTCAGACGAAGACGGAAGGAGTGCAGCTGCAGATTGAAACATGATAAAATGTTGATTGTGCAAGTTATCAGAAATCTGTTGCTTTGGTTTGTTTCATATTTAAATCTGGAAATTGGTGTTTGATCAACCTGTATTTTTTATTTATTTTTATTTTATTTTTTTTTACTGCATCAATTGACTTGCTGATTATGCTGGTCTGCTCCAACCCCCACCCCCCACACACACACACCCCTTTCAGCCGTGGGCCAGTATATCAATGCGGATACCAGCTATGGACTTCTGCCCATCATTTACGTTCCTTTTTTTCCCCTCCATTAACCTCCATTAACATTCAGTTGAAAATTAGGTGTGTTGTTTTAAGCTTTGAATAAACAGGCAGCTCCAGGCAAAGAAAAAAAAATGATGCATGCAAAATCCTTTTTTCTTGTTTGTGAGTCACACAGCTTGGGTATTGAGTCTAATTTTGTGAATATGCATTTTCTGTGTGGCGGAGATGATTTGAATTGACTCCTTACTGCACCCGCCTGTTTGTGTAAGTGGAAAATGAGAGGCGTGGAGGCAGCTTTAGGTTGACAAGGCTTCAAGGCTTTATTGGGGTTCAATGCAGCACATTTTGAGACTCAAAGCACTCGGTGGGGAGTTGAGGTAAGGCATTTTTAAACCGCGCGTTGCACCCAGAGACAGTTGGATAAGCACATTTTTGGTGACAGTTAAAGCACCTGCGAATAGATCCACACACAGCAGAGTCTATTCCTGACATCTCCTGTCTTTATTATTTCCCTTTGTTGTTGCCATGTAAACATGTGCATACATGCTGTTAGTGTTTCAAGTAAAACATACAGAGGCCTCAGTGACCGAATATTCCAAGTTCAAGAGGTTTGTGTATTTTGTTTTTCTTTTCTTTTTTCTTTTTTTTTTTCCGATGAGGCTTCTCTACGTATTGAGCACCAGAAAACTGATTCGTCAGTCTAAACTTTATCAGTTGTTTTTGCGGATTTCTCTTTGGTTTCCACCTCTTCTTCTGCTTCTTTTTCACCTTCTTCCTCCTCCTTTGCACCCTCTTCATCGCCTTCTTTTTTCTCACTGTCATCTTCCTCTTGGGGTTGGCTTTCTTCTCCCCCTTCTTCCTCCTCTTTTCCGTCTATACTCTCCTCCTCCTTGTGATCCTCTTCATCTGTAAGGAAACATTTGAGCACAATGGAAATGTTCTGTTCATTGTCAGAAAGGTAAAATGGCAACACTAACCTTCTCCTTTTCCTTCCTCTTCTCCCTCTTCTTCTTCTTTCTCTACTGCTTCCTCCCCCTCTTCTCCCTCTTCCTCCTCAGCCTTTTCTTCGTCCTCTTTCTCCTCTGCTACTTCTTCCTCTTCTCCCTCCTTCTCCTCCTCTTCCACCTGCTCTCCCTCCTCCTCTTCCTCTTGAGGAGGGCTGGACTCCGCCTGCTGGGCTTGGCTTGCGGTTATCACGTCTTCAGTGAAAAGCGACGGAGAGTACAAGCGGGAGCTGAGCAGGTACGGAGCCGCAGAGCTCAACAGAGACTGGGTGGAGACCTGCGCTCTTCCGTAGGCTGGAGCAGGCCCCATGGCCTGAGAATAAATGCTGAAGGATCCCTGTTTTGGCATGTTCAAGCGATTCTCCTCCCCTTCAAGAAGCTTCCTAGTGAGACGAGACAGCAAGCGAAGGTCTCACGGTTACAATGCAGTGCATAAAACTCTGCAGTGAGTGTGACTTGAGCACTTACCTATATGCCGCAATCTCAATATCCAGTGCCATCTTTACGTTCAAGAGGTCTTGATAGTCTTTTAGGTAGCGAGCCATGTCATTCTTGTTTGCCCTCAGTTCCTCCTCCAGTTGACCTATTGTGTCCTGCGAAAGGAGAAAGCACGGTAAAGTTCAAGTTGATCTGACAGCTAAAATGAGTTTACCCATTGCTCTTCTCCCCTACTTTGCAAAGTTGTGTTTGCTTACCTGCATTGCAGAGATCTCGCAGCTCTGTTTCTCCTCCACCTCCTGCAGCTGGTTTTCCAGAGCCTGGATCATCTCCCGGCAGGCGTCAATCTCCAGGGTTCTGTCTTTGAGCAGTCGGCGGTACTCTCCGGCCTCGTCCTTGGCGCTGCGTGCGCTCTCGGTGCTGCGCGTGGAGCCTACCGTCATCACGCTCATCTTGTTGCAGAACCAATCCTCTGCTGCTTGCAGGTTGCGTTGTGCCATCGTCTCGTACTGGCCCCGAATGTCACGGAGAGCGGCGGAGAGGTCCGGTTTGGAGACCTCCATCTCCACGGCCACCTCAACGCTGTACTGAATTTGGGCCTGCAGCTCTGCGATCTCACTCTCACAGAGGCGCTTCAGGAAGGCCAGCTCGTCCAGAAGGGTGCCGACCCTTTTCTCAAGCTCGGCCTGGCCCAACGCAGCTTCATCCGCTCCCTTCCTGGCATCCATGAGCCGTCCTTCTGCCTCCTCTCTGCCAAGGACTTCGTTCTCGTAGCGCTTCTGGAGGTTCTTCAGCACGTCCTCCATCTCATCCCTGTGGTCCTGGGCTGCTTGCTTCTCGTGGCGGGCCTCTTCCACAGTGGCACGGAGCTGGCGGATCTCGTGTTCATACAGGGCCCGAAGATTGGATGGCTCTGCCTGCCTCTGCCTTAGCAGCAGCAGCTCCGTCTCCAGCAGCTTGTTCTGCTGCTCCAGCTCATGGACTCTCTCAATAAAGCTCGCAAAGCGATCATTGAGGTCCTGGAGCTCAGCCTTCTCCTGGGTCCTCAGGTGTTTGAACTCGGAGCTAACTTGGACCGCTTGCTCAAGGCGGAGCTCGGTGGCAGCTGCAGCAGGAAGGATGTGGGAGTAGCTCGAAGGAGCTCTGGTGGATGTTGTATAACTTCTGCGTGAAGATGCATAAGACGGCATTGGGGCTGAATGCGTGGAGTAAGCAGACCTGGATCCAATTCCTCCTCCAGCTCCATATCCTGCATTGCGCATAACTACTCTCCGCTTGTAAGTGGAAGGTAGATAAGGGTCAAAGCCAGTTGAAGTCATGATTTCGGTGATCTGCCGCTTCGTGCCAGGGTGTGTAGCTGTGTTGTCTGCACAGTGAATCTGCATTACTCTGGCTTTTATAGAGCCCGTAATGACTGTGACGTAAGCTTTTTTTTTTTTTTTTTTTTTTCCTTCCCCAATTCTGACGGAAAGAATTGATTATGGTCCTTGCCAGCCAGCAGAGATGGGGAGGAGTGTGTGTGTGGGTAGATGAGGCGGGGATAAGTAACGATGGAGCAAAATGGGCTGCAACACACAGGGTCACCGAGGACATTAACAGTCTACTGTTACTCCTGAAAACTGCAGAGGAAGCTACAGTTTTACCGCATAAATCCTTAGGAAGATATCAGACTATTGATATCAGTCTATGTAGCATTTTTTGAGTTTTGCATCATTATTTTATATTTCACG